TTCATGGTCCTCATGGTCACTGTGGGGTTTGTTATCACAAAACTTGGAGGAGTGCAAATCTCAGCCAATCCGGACAGACACAAGAGAGGAGCTTTTGACTCACCTCAGGATAGAAAAGCTGCAGGAAGCAGGTGGCTGCTCTGCTCTGAGCCTACCTGCCTCTATGTGGCCAGGAGGGTGTGGCCCATATCACTCCTCAGAGCACTCAAGGTGGGCTTCTGGAGGGAATGGCTCTCATGCTGGTATTCACCCAAACTAATCAGTTTACAGGTTCACCCTTGCCATTCAAGACAAGTCACCCCAATCCCTCAGCAAATGTTCTAGGAAGAGGCACCTGGACCTCCACCCCCAGCTCCTGTCAAATCTCCCCCTACCTGGAGGTAGGCTGTGGGCACTCCTCCACTACAGGTCTGGGGAGTTGGTCTCTGGGTGATAAGAACAGCCAGCTCTGCCCCTGCAGGGTCCACCTCAGCTCTTAATAACCATGACTCTGCAGGCAAGCTGACCTTAAGTTTTCCATAAGACCCACACTCCCTAGAGTCTATGGTGGGAACCAGGAGGGCCATGGTTCCTTGGCTCCGAGGCTGCCCAGTTCATTGCCTTTCTGCCCATGTAGGGGCCCAGACAGGTCAGGTCATATGCTAACTATGCCTCTGGTTTGAGCTTCAAACCTCCTTGCTCTCACTTTGCTTCTGCCTTCAGGACTCAGCACTGGGAATTCCAACAGAAGCCTCTGCAATCTGCAGCCTGATCATGGAATCAATAAGGAAAGAAATGTACAGCTTTCAGATCACCACCTGGCTTTGCAAGAACACAGCTGACTGATCTATAGGGCAACTCAAGAGGCAACTGAGGGCATTTTCTTCCTCAAGGCAAAGTCTGCTTCATAGCCAAAATGCACACACCCACTCTAGTTCACCACATCCAACCTGGGCTCATGAGTGTCTGGATCAACCCTTGGCAGGCACTCCTAAGGTGGACTGAAATGTCAGGCTCCTTCCAACCCTGCCTCAGTCAAGGGATGCCTCCCTCTGCCAGGTTGTCGCTTCTAGTGCTCAGGGAAGTCCGTCACACAGAAATTCCGGTTCTCATCTGTGTGCCTGCAACATGGAGGTTGCTGCATCAAGGCCTTTCTCTCCTGGGCCCATCCGGGGACCAGGTAAATAGTGAAAGCTTCCCTGCCCTCACCCCTCACCCCCTCAGTGCCTCAGCTGTGCAGACAGGAAAGCTCATCACTGAGAAAACTCACACAAACACTCTAGGTTCACTTGTTCTTAGCTGGTTTGAAAATCGGTACTCATGTATGGGTCAAGGTATGTGACTGTGTGAGTGTGTGTATGTGTGTGTGTGTATGTGTGTGTGTCTGTGTGTGTGCACACTAGGTGTGAGGGGGGAGGCTGGGGGAGCCTGTGTGTGATTGAGTGTGAAAAGACCATGCACACTTGTCCCTTGTGCTGCCCATCCCTACTTTGGGAGAGGTGGGTGGCTGATATGTCCATCTCAATGACTTTCTTCCCTGGGTCCACAGTTGCAGGAAACCTTCAGTAGCTCTTCATTGAGCTACATGGTTACCAAGGATACTGTGAGGGCTTCATTACCCTAAGAGGTGACACCAGACTCCCTATAGTCCAGGAACATGACATCTAGCATCCTGCTTGGTTCTGTGGGAGGATGTTGAGACCCACAGGACAGGTGTAGAGAAACTGGTCTTGGAGGCTCTGGCCACAGCTCACCAACCCTCAGAGCATGACCTTCAAGCCCCGATTCCTACACCGAGTGTTGGTGAGATGCCAGGAGGTGACAAGGCCATTAAGTCTTGCCTTTAAGGGTCTCAAGACTTTACTGAAGGATAGACACAACACATTTTCCAGATAGTAACAAGACCAAAAGGGCTGTTGACCCACACAGCCAGGGCCACTGACAGAGACTGGAGCATAAGTGGATAGAAAATGATGATGGAACAGTTTCAAAGTTTGTCTCATCTGAGAGATACAAACTTCAGTTGGGTGGCACTGACGGCTGGATTGTAAATTTACAGCCAAAGGGAGCCCTCCAGGGTCCCAGAACATACGTGGGGCAGACTCCTCTTGCTTTTTCCCCTAAGGGGGCTAATCAGGGGGCTACCATACTGTTCCTACCCCTAGTGTTGGACACTGGATGGTGTCAAGTTCCTACATAGTGGTGGTGGCAGATCTCTGGTGGACATCTAAGACAAGCCTCTCCCAGTTACACACACAGTCCTATCCACACAATTCCACATGACCCTGCTCTGAACTTCCCCTCAGTGATCCCCCTTAAACCAGAAATCAAAGTCCCAAGGTGTGGTCAGTTGCAGCCTGCTCTGACCTTCCTGGGGGTGTGGGTAGAAGATTGCTATGGACTTTTTGGTGGGATCCACACACATCTTGTTCACTACCTGGTTTGGTCTGCATCCTGCCTGCTGTGTAACCCTTCAGCATCATCTGCTGACTGCCCACCTCTTTGTGTCTCTGCCCACCTATGGCCATTTAGAAACAGGCATCCTTAAGGACAGACGCGAGTCAGGCATTGTGGTGTTTCAGTGTGTGGGGTGCAGCAGGTGCTCAGAATATTGCCTCAGCGGGAGCATCTGCAGCAGGCATTGCCTACTGCCCTAAGCACACCCCTCTCATTTTCCCTGTGGGCCATGGTAGCTATGTGGATGAGATAGTTCCCATGGCAGCAGGGGGAATCAGCCCTGCTGGCATAAGTACTCATGTGGAACAATGGCGCTAATGCTGGAGTGTCCCTGAAGACACATGGTTCAGACACCTTTGCAAGTCGTTTGTGGGAAGCCTTTGGAGGAGTTTGGAGATGCAGGCTGCTGGGGAACTGGACAATGTTCTAATGCAGATAATTGATGTTGTGATAGACATTTGACCAGAGCCGTAGGACTGAGGATTCTGATAGGAGGCTGACTAGAGGGCACTCCTAGTGTGATGTATACTGGGAACCAATGCAAACACACACACACACACACACACACACACAAGCATGCACATGCACACGTGCATATATGTATGCACACATGCTCACACACATGCACACGTAAACACACATGTGAATACATGGACACACAGGTACAGACACGCATAACACATGTGCGTACATGAACACACACATACAAACACACAGGTCTATACACACATACACACATGCACAGACTGATACATACACACAAATACATGCATACCTCCACACACAGGAATAAACACGTGCACGCATGCATGTGTGCACAAACACGTGTGCCCAGACAACTGTTCCCTGAGAGTCCCTGAGGCTCAATCTAAATGAGGCAAAGAGTGCAGTTTAGAGAGGGGTGTTTCCTGAACTGAAGAGATTGGCAACATAAAGAAGCCAAAATTTTATACTAGGACAACTTTAAAGATGTTGTAAGGGTAGCTCGGGAATCTGAGAGCCTTTCCATCAGTGTGACAGGTTTACACATGAACAGCTTCAGTGCTTTTGAGATTAGGGTTCTCCAGGCACTGGTAATCTGTCAGGTATGGTGGAGGTTGGGGTTGGCATTATTAGGTGATGTCCCTGTGGTAGAGCACATCTGGTCTGTGTCAGTAGAACTTGTCCTCTCACAGAGAACATCTCTTCTTCTCTTTTCCAACTCACATCCTCCTTCTGCCCTAGATCTGACTTGCTCACTGAAGGACACTTGCCTGAGATAGGACAAAGGGGAATGACACTGCAACGGGCATCAAAGAGGAAAATGGACCTGTGGCTCCTCACAACCCTGGGATCCAGCCCACGCCACATCTGCAGGCCTTCACAGGGTTACCATGCTTACCTCTGTGGAAGTGGGTCAAGCTGACGGTACCTAATGTTCTCCCTGGTCCTTCTGATAATGCTTCTGGGTCCAGAAGGACCCAAAGTCCACCCTCAGCTTCTACACTTCCCCCTTCTGGTACCTTAGAACTTGGTCCCTTCAAAGGCACTTTTAATGATTTGGTGGTTTGGGGCACAAAGTTATTCTTCCTAGGGCTTTGGAATATCACAGGGCCAATTTTCCCATGTCAAGAAGATGTAGGAAAATCTCTGAGGTCATCTTTGACAAATATCTACTTTATTCTCTGCATCATAACAAACATATCAAGAAGTCTTCCGTCCTCTACTAAGAGTGAGGCGGGAACGTGCACCGACAGGAAGGGTCTGATGTGACCCTGGGTAGGCAGAGGGGCTCCTGTCTCTACCAGCTTTGGACTGGCTTTCAGCCACTGTCCTGAATAGTGATGCCTTTGAGGTAGGACTTCATCCCTCCTGCCACCTGGGATTTCATCCTTTGCTCCCTTCTTCATGGCTGGACCCTGGGCTTTCAGCTAAGTCGGACGGACCCGCAACATGATGGCTTTCCACGAGGCTCCCTCCTGCAGGTCAGTGTCTACACGTGGGTCCTCTCCAATGCTGTGACTGTAGAATTGTAGCATCCGGCATCCTCTAGTGATCTTCTAAAAGGCAACAACACAAGTGAGAGGGACTCTGGAAACCTCAGCAGCACAGGACACTACCCTGTTCCACACTGCTCCCCAAGCTGCCTCCTCCTGTCTGAACCTCTTCCTCCAATCTTCTAGCTCCCACTCCACACCACCCTCTCCTCCCTAAGCATCTTCCTCTTCTTTCTCCTACTTCCTCCTCCTAGCATGGTCAGTACCCTTCTGCTCTATTCTTCTAGTTCAAAGGTTTTTAGATTCCTCATACACAGGATACTCATGGGAGTGACCTTCTGGGATACTAGATCTGTTGGTAGGTTCCATTTAACCATCATCCCATGGTGTCTAGACCTAGCTTACCCATGCATCTTACCATACACACACAGACACACACACACACACACACACACACACACACACACACACACACACGTGATTGTAATTTGCCAGCTGACACAGACATGAGTAAAATAGATACATTCAAATACAGAAATGTACCTGGGCCTGGCCGGATGCTTGTTCTCCAGACGCCCTTCTGGTGTTTTACATTTGTGGGGAGACTCTCTTCTCCCTGAGGAGACGCCGGGAGGCTCTCTTCTCCCCAAGGCCACGTTGTTTTCTTGCTGGTAGGCAGCAACAGAGCTTCCTGAGGCCATTTGCTATTCTCCTGACCCACCCCTTGAAACCTAGGGACCGACCCCTGCTGGGGAGAGGCTTGTGCTCTGCTGAGGCGCTGATGCTGCTGCTCTCTCCTCCCAAACCCATTGAGTACAGGCAGGGGACACTCCCAAAATGTATGTGGGCTTGGCCCATTGTGGGTGTTGTTTGGAGTGGCCTGCAAGGAAGAACACCAGGCCAACTGACTCTTCTCTCTTCTCTCTTCTTAGCCTTCTGGCCTTGGGTAGACGTTTGACTGTTGGAGAAGGCAGAAAACAAGATGGGCTCGCTTCTTCTCCTAAGTCCCGAGCAGAAAGTAGCAGGATCATCAAGGGAAGGGTATGGTGTTTTCCATGGATTCACGGGTTGAGCCCGGATAGGGCTGTCACACTCCTGAAGAGCCTGCTCTTTTAAGAAATAATACGAGGCCATGGCCTGATTATATTTCCTATAGAAGAGTGACTCCTCGATGTCACGTGCTTCAAATCCAATGTGTTCCATAGCTTTTATGATTGCCATGTCCGGCCTGAGTTGGATTTGTTTGCCACACGGTTCTGGGAAGCTCGCTGAGTCCTCCTTGAGCCACGGATGTAGCATGAACTCAGTGATTGTCGGTCTGTGTTTGGGATTCTGTGTTAACATATAGCTAATGAGGTCCTGGAGCTCTATGGACAGGCCACGGGGGATAGAATACTTTCCTGATGTCACCTGCCTTTTAAGCTGGGTAGTGTTGGTACCATCGAAGGGAAGTCTTCCTGTGATCATACAATATAGGAGAATCCCCAGGGACCATGTATCAATTTTGGGGCCCTCATAAAGTCTCCCAAGGATAACCTCAGGAGCACTAAATGCATATGTCCCGCAGTGATACCTCAGCTTTTGCCCTGGCATCACTTGGGTGCCGAGCCCAAAATCAATAATTTTTATTCTTCCACTATTGTCGATCATGATGTTGCCAGGTTTCAGGTCTCTGTGGATTATCCCCCGGTCATGGCAGTAGCTCATAGCACTTAGTATTTGTTTGAATATTATCCGTGCCTCATCCTCCTTCAGGTGACCAGCTTCTTCAATGTGTTGGTAAAGTGGTTTACCCTCGGCCAATTCCATGATGAGGTATATTGTCTTCTTATTCTCAATGACTTGGAAAAGGGATATAATGTTTGGATGGTTGGTCATCTTGAGAATATCCACCTCCGATGTTTCGGGGTGGCACCAGTGCTGCCTCTTGCGGATTATTTTGACAGCCACGAGCTTGCCTGTGAGGCGGTGCCGAGCTAATTTGACTCTGGCGAATCCTCCTTGGCCGATGGTGTTTAAAACTACATATTGAGAGTGGAAACTCTCTGTGCCAGACGAGCTGGGCTCGGATCTGAGCTTTTCCAACTCCTGTTCGCTCTCAGAGCTCATTTCAGGTAACAAAGAGGTAATATTACCTAAGAGGGGGGAAAAAAAACAGAGAGAGAGAGAAAGAAATGGAAAAAAGAAAGCTAAGATTAGAAACTAAAATAATGGAAAAATCAGCAAAACAGTAAACTAAAAGCCAACCAAAATAACAACAACGGCAGAAACATAGAAAAGCAAAAAACACATACAAAGCCAAGAAAATCCAAATTAAAACACCTAGCTCCAAGTCACTATGAGGGAGGAGCACAGCTCAGGAACACTAAGAAACAATATTACTAATTGGGTAAAAAGAAAAATGCGCAATGAAATATATAAATGATCAAAGAAATTTTTAAAAATTAAGCATTAGAAAAACCAAGCAATATAAAATTAAATTAAAAAAAATCAAACACCAAACAACCAAAATTGCAAAATGGCTAAAAACTTAGACATTGAAAAAAAATTTAACAAACTCATCAAAAGATCTAGAATGTACAAAGAACAACAACAAAAAAAAAATACCACCAAGAAAACAACCCCAATGAATAATTGGGAATATTGGTATAATGATCTGAAAATAGTTTTCTCAGAAGCCATGTAAATGGCTAAGAAATATATATCTATTAATGTTCACCATCCTTGGCCATCATAGAGATGGAAACTAAAACTTGCTTGAGTTTTCATCTTCTTCTAATCAGTATGGCTAAAGCACCAAAGCTGGAAAGCTGGTGTGGATTTGGGGGATGGAAATCCTCATGCATGCTGTCCTCTGGAGGATATAAGCTGGTATGACCACTACAAGAAAAAGTGTGGTGTTTCTCTGAGAACTAGAAATCGATATGCCACATGGTCCAGCTACTCCGCTGCTTGGATATACTCAAGGAACTCTATTTCCTACTGCAGAGACACTTCTTTCTCCATGTCCAAAACTAATCCATTTAATCACAATACATGGTGTATAAACAGCCTAGATATCCATTCGGCCGACGAATGGCTAATGCAAAGGTGGTACCTAAATACAGTGGAATGTTAGTCAGCAGTAAAGACAACTGAAATTATGAAGTTTGCTAGTAAATGCATGGAACTGGACGGTGTCACACTAAGTGAGCCAACTCAGACTCAAAAGAACAAACATGGCATGCCCTCATACACCTGATTTAGACATTAAAACAAAAGATCCTTGCATCAAATCTTCAGATGTATTAGTACAACTCTTGTATCTCATAGAAATTACAATGATTAGTATAACTCTTGTATCTCAGAGAAATTTCCTTGTGCAATGACACAGAAACTCAAAACTGGTCAAAGACTGGAGAATAAATGTCAACAAAGTGCTCAGACAAAAACTGGGATGTCTGAATTGTACCCTCCTTGCTTCCCTCCCTCCCATCCTCCATGGCTTCAAGACTATCATGGAAAAGGGGGCAGAGAGATTGTTGGAACCAGGGATTGGCAAAGGCCAGAACATAATAGTATCTTCTTAACAAGACAAGACCTCAGCACTCATGAATTCACAGCAGCTGTGGGTACCAGCATGAGATCTGCACAAAATCAAGCAGTCTCACATGACAAACCCATAGTGGGAACACTGGCAGTTGATGACATCTAGGGTAGAAAGAGCCAATTCTCCTTAAGAATGTGTCTCCCGGTAGGTCAACCACAGCCCAGGGGATGCTCCCACACTCATGAACATATATGACAGCAGGCAGTTAAAAAAAAAAAACACATGAATTTGTGGATTGTGGGGAGTGTCTGGGGGGATGGATCTGGGAAAAGCTGGGGAAGGGCAGGGAGTGAATTGGATCCAAATACATTCTATGGATGTGTGAAATTCTCAAAAAATACTATAACTTATGAAAACCACACATAACCAAAAACTTAAAATCAAAGCCAAAGCAGAAACAATTAAAAAAAAATACAATAAATAAGAAAACCTAGAAGAACAAAAGTTGCTAACCCAAGACTGGCACAAAATTCCTCAAAGTGGAAACATGATAAAAAAAAAAAAATACCAGAGAGAAAGTGAGAGAATTTCCAACAAAACCCTCAACAAACCCTGAAAGCAAAAAACCAGCCAAGCAAAGAAACCAGAAAATAAAATCCAAAGCATAAAAGTTTAAAACTCAAATCACCCCCTGGACAGTGGTGGTACATACCTTTAGTCCCAGGGTTCAGGAGGCAGAAGCAGGCAGATCTCTGAGTTTGAGGCCGTCCTGGCAGACAGAGCAAGTTCCAGGACAGTCAGAGATACAGAGAAAAACTCTATCTCAGAGAAAAAAAAGAATTAAAAAAAATCAAAAAATAAACCCTCCACTACCCACAGGCTGGGGAGATAGTTCAGTACCTACATATCAAAATACAAGGGCCGAATTTCAACCTTTAGAAACCCCGTGAAAAATAGTCAACCAAGTAATTTATTTTTAGATTATGAAGTGGATCAAAGACCCCAACATAAAACCGGACACACTAAATCTAATAGAACAAAAAGTGGGAAATACCCTCGAACTCATCAGTTGCCCAGGAGACAACTTCCCCAAGAGAACATCAATGGCTCAGGCACTAAGATCAACAATTAATAAATAGGACCTCTGGGCTGGAGAGATGGCTCAGTGGTTAAGAGTACTGACTGCTCTTCCAGAGGTCCTGAGTTCAAATCCCAGCAACCACATGGTGGCTCACAACCATCTGTAATGAGATCTGATGCCCTCTTCTGGTGTGTCTGAAGACAGCTACAGTGTATTCATATATAATAAATAAATAAATCTTAAAAAAAATAAATAAATAGGACCTCATGAAGCTGAAAGCTTCTGTAAGGCAAAGGACACTGTCATTAGGACAAAACAACAGCCTACAGATTGGGAAAAGAGCTTCACTATGCTACGTCTGAGAGAGGGATAATATCCAAGATATATAAAGAACCCAAGAAGCTAGACACCGACAATCCAAATAACCCAACTGAAAAGGGGTACAGAGCTAAACAGAATTCTCAAGAGAAGAAGCTCTAAAGTCTGAGAAGCCCTTAAGGAAATGTTCAAGGTACTTAGTCATCAGGGAAATACAAATCAAAATGACTTTGAGATTCCAGCTGACACTCATCAGAATGGCTAAGATCAAAGACTCAAGTGACATCACATGCTGTACAGGATGTGAAGCAAGGGGAACCCTCCTGTACTACTGGTGGGAGTGCAAACATGTACAACCACTCTGAAAATCAATTTGGCAGTTTCTTAGAAAATCGGGAGTACTTCTACCCTAAGACCCAGCTATACCACTCTCAGGTTCCACCATACCGCAGATGGAGCAGAGATTGAGGGAATGGCCAGCCAATGACAGGCCGAACATGAGACCCATGCGATGAGAGAGAGCACTATTAATGATACTCTATGACTTGCAGACAGCACCTAATGTAACTGTCTTCTGGGAGGCTTCACTCAGCAGCTGATGGAAACAGATACAGAGACCCAGAGTCAAACATTAGGCAGAGCTTGGGGAGTCTTGTGGAAGAATGAGCAAGCCAGAGGGGGCAAGGACACCACAGAGTCAACTAACTTGAGCCCTCGGAGGCTCACAGAGATTGAACCACCAACCAAAGAGCATGCAGGGGCTGGACCTAGGCCCCTTACACAGAAGTTTGTAGCAGAAGTGCAGCTTGTCTTCATGTGGGTCCCCTAACAATTGAAGCAGAGGTTGTCTCTTACTTTGTTGTCTGCCTTTGGATCCCTTTCCCCTAGCTGGGCTGCCTTTTCTCATCTCAGTGGGAGAGGATAAGCTTAGTCCTGCTAGAACTAGATGTCCCAGGGCAGGGTGGTACCCAAGGGGTTGGCCTCCCCTTCTCTGAGAAGGGGAGGGAATTATAGGAGGAAGGGCATATGAGGTGGGACTAGGAGGAGAGGAGGGAGTGAGGGGCTGTGATTAGGATGTAACATGAATAAATTTTAAAAATTCTTAAAAAAAAAAAAAGGCAGATGGCTTACCTTAGAAACAATGGCCAAGCTGACTGATGGCCTCAAATCTTTCCCTCACACAGGTGTTCTCACACCTACCACACGTGTACTTGCAGGACACAAACACACACACACACACTCGCCCACGCACACACACACAGATTCACCCACAGTCACCCACAGGTATATCTACACACACAAACACACACAGGTATTCACATGCAAGTAAACATAAAACGTAGCACACACACACACAAGCAGGTACTCACACACAAGCAAACGTAAAACACAACACAATACTACACACAAACCTAAACACACACACCACACACACACACAAACACACAAACACACACACACACAGGCATGCAACACTCCCCAAACACACACTGATGTAGACACACACAAGCTTACACACAACCCAATCAACAGCAAAATCCACAAACAGCTCACTAGATACAACAAAATCGCAGAGGGCACCACACCACCACTCCTCTCAACGCACTCAGAGAAATCTAGGTGTGACCACAGCTTAACATCTGCTGGCTGGACCGTGTCACAATTGCTCCTCATGAGGTCATAGTAGGATATGCCCTGACAGGGCTGGGAGGGACTCCAAGGCTCTGGTTCAGGTGGGCTATGGAGACTGACATTAGGCTTTTAGAAATCAAAGCCTGTAGGATGTGTTGATGTCCTTAGGTCTCTGGTTTGAATGTTTGCTGTGCCTCCTGCTTTAAAGTCCTCATGTCTACACTCAGCATGTTACACTTTGCATTCCAACTGATGGGTCCAAGATGATGCTACAGCTTAACGTAGAAAAAAAATATTCTAAACAGGAAGTAACTGGGATCCACTGGGACCCAGGAATTCACTCCTGGCACAAAGCACTGGTTCCTTCCAGTCTGGGCACAAGCACTGAGCAGATCCCGGGTGCTAGCTTTGCACCCAATCTCACAAATCCCAGAGGGAGCAGGCCTCCCCGGATCTCTAACCTGGGCAGTATCTTAGATAAGGAGACAGCAACACCGGCGCCAAACAGGGAGTAACTGGGACCCATTGGGACCCAGGAATTCACTCCTG